TTAAAGAACTACTCCGGTTAAATACAGCTTGCAAAAAATATAGTTGAGCAGGTAACTGTGGGAAGCAAAAGATAGTTAGGTCTTTAATTCACATTGTATAACACATAGTTTAATAAATAAGTTAAGTTAGTCAGTAATGCAATTTATGATTTGAGGTTTGTTAATGGCAATATAAATTTATAGAATCAGATAATCAGAAACTATGTGATATACTGTAATTGCTGTAACTGCGTGATGTTATTGCTGGTTGTTAATGGCTGATCATTGTAATATGTGCTCTAAAGGCTTGTTATACTTCACAGATCTTGTGTTGTAGCTGAATCAATAGGAATCTTCCTCAGTAAATCTCACTTAAACAGCTGTATTTTCTAAAAACTGATTTCACAGCAGTGGACTAAATGAGCAGTTTTAAAACTTCAGATTCTTCACTGAGGTAAAACAGCAATACTACAATGTAAACATACTCCAATACAAGTAAAAAGTCCTGCGTTCACTTATTTACGATCAAATAGTGATGCATCACCAACAAAAAGTAGGGAGCACGGGGCACAACCTAATGCAGGGTAAATTGTAACATGGAATTCTTATGTGGCTACACAGGGTCGATCCTTTCCTTCTTCCAGCCACAATACCACCAAACAGTAGCCCGCAAAATTCCACAGAGATTGGACATATTTCAGCAGAGTTCAGTAACAAAGAGTGTTTTCAGCAGGCATAATTAAATTTCTTTGTCATACTCATTTTCCGATTACTGAGCTGTCTAAGCAAGTCACCAAATCCAACTATATATCATCTTTGCAACTGTCTTGTTGCCTACAACATAGCACCATTTTGAGCTATGTAACCAACTTCCAGCAAGTGTAAGCTAGGCTTGATACTTGATACTACTTGTAACGTGGTGTTACAACTAAGCCTCCTATAGCGCATTTTCTCTATTTTTGCACTTCAAACTTATGTTCAGTTTGAACTAATGTCCTTAATTAAATGAGATATACTTTGTGTTTTTAATTTGTCAGGTAATGACACACAGTTTCAGTCTTGTCAATAATCATACATTCAACACTCATATTTTGAAATGTAGACCTTGGTTACCCATTCCGTGTACATCTATCAGTCCAACCACTGAACATGGATGATAGACTAACAGATGGATGGATACCTGTACGGATACCTATCCTTCCCCTGATGTAGGTGGAGACTAGGTGTCCTTATAGTATATACACTATAAGGACACAAGTATTCGGAAGCCTGACCATTATACCAACAAGGACTGTACTAACATTGTATTCAAACAGATAAACTTTAATATGGAGCTGGTCCCCCCTTTTGCAGCTATAACAGCTTCCACGCTGTAGAGCATTTATGAGGTCAGGCACTGATGTTGGCAAGAAGGCCTGGCTCGCAATCTCTGTTCCAGTTCATCCCAAAGGTGCTTGATGGGTTGGAGGTCAGGGCTCTGTGCAGGCCAGTCAAGTTCTTCCACACCGAACTCATCAAACCATGTCTTTATAGTCCTTGCTTTGTGCACTGGGACATAATCATGTTCGAACAGAAAAGGGCCTTCCCCAAACTGTTGCCCCAAAGTTGGAAGCATAGCATTGTCCAAAATGTCTTGGTATGCTGAAGTATTAAGGTTGTCCTTCGCTGGAGAATAGGGCCTAACCCAAACCTTGAAAAACAGCCACATACCAATATCCCTCCTCCACCAAACTTTACAGTTGGCTCAGCGCAGTCAGGCAGGTAATGTTCTCCCGGCATCTGCCAAACCCAGACTCGCCCATCTGACTGCCAAACAGAGAAGCGTGATTTGTCCCTCCACAGAACACATTTCCATTGCTCCACAGTCCAGCGTCTGTGTGCTTTGCACCACTCCATCCGACGCCTGGCATTGAACTTGGTGATGTGAGGCTTGCATGCAGCTTCTCGGCCATGGAAACCCATTCCATGAAGCTCCCGCTGCACAGTTTTTGTGCTTACATTAATGCCAGTGGAAACTCGTAATTCTTCAGCCATGGAATCAGCGATTATTACGCACCATGCGCCTTAGTGGTCATTGACCCCGCTCTGTGATTTTATGTGGTCTTCCACTTTGTAGCTGAGTTGCTGTTGTTCCTAAACACTTCCACTTTCTAATAATATCACTTACAGTTGACTGTGGAATATCCTGCAGGGATGAAATTTCATGAACCATCTTATTGTGAAGGCGACCTCCTATCACAGTACCAGTGCACTTGAAGTCACTGAGCTCCTCAGAACGACCCATTTTGTATCACAGATGTTTGCAAATGGAGACTGCATGGCTAGGTGCTTGATTTTATACACCTGTGGGTCTGATTGAACCAACTGTGTGTGGCAAAATACTTTTGTCCATATAGTGTAGATAGAACTGTATTGAATTAATTGTGTTAAACAGACTTTTCCAGCAAGTATCACAGCTCACCCTCTGCCCATTACAATAAACCCCACCCATGGGATACGTTGTAACATTTCACTTCCACCACTTCTCAGTGCAACTGTAGAGGAAAGGTAAGTACTAGAAAAAACAACTGTTTATTTGTAGCACAGATGTGCATGTAAAATTTTTTTTTAAAAAATCATCTCAAACAGTTTTAATAATGTGTTAGGTTGTGCCCCGCTCTACCCTACATTTACTGTAACATGAAAAAAATGATTTGGATATGATTTCAGCATGTGCAGGATGATGCACAAAAATGGGGCATCTCTAGTGGCATTTCCATCCCTGCAGCCACTCTTTTAAATCTGTACATGTTGCCGCTGGGAAATATCATGCATGTTGTCAGCATAATATAAAAAAAATTAATCTCAAACAGTTTTAATAACATTAATCCCAAACTAAAATATGTTAGGTTGTGCCCTCACTCATTATGCAGAAAAGAATCGTCCCTTGTTACCAGAGGTGGCGCTGTTTCCCCTATTTGAAGATGTTTCATACAACCATACATCATATTTTACAAGACAGTCATGTGTTTTACATGCAACATCATGTCAGATTTTACTATTAAATTACTGCTGTTTAATAAATACAACATGGTTTTAAAAAGGCACAATATTTCTGTGTGAGAGCCCAGTTTTCCCTCAACATGCATAGACAGGGCACATCTTGAAATATCCTCTCTGGTAACACGGACAAATGGACGTTTCAAACACCTTTAAAATCAGCCTGAAGCAACCACAAACCGTAGGAAAGCCCTCACTGGTAATATCGCCATCATCTGGATTTATAACCATCACAACTATACATGGATGTTGTGCAGAATATTACATATGTGTCCCGGGTCAAATCGTGTGTTTCTCTCATGAAAAACGTTAATGTATGACATGACCGATTAGAGGACAGGCCAGGCGCTGAGGAGAGACGCATATCTCCAGTACAGTAACGACACAGCGCTAGATTATTATCAATATGGTTATCAGTATATTGAATATGAGTGTTATCATCTCATGTTCGCATATGTGTGCGCTGTATTCTGTGTCAGGTTGAAATGAAGATGCAGCTGTACACTTGCCCCCCGCTATTCCACATTTAGCTAGCTCACCATTTACGGTTAAAATACATAATTCCAGCAATCATAACTCGCATATGAGGATAAAAAGGAAAATATTAACACATCCATATCCAAATGAGTTAAATAACCCGGCTCATTTTGGTTACACAATGACAATGGTGCGTTCTTTTATAAGGAGCTACAGTAACCAAATGAATGAAACATGGTTTTTAATTGTGCCATTGTTGTGTTTCCATGTGGTAGCATTGTTACCTTTTCTCTGTGGAGCTGACGTCCTTCCTGCAGCGCATCTGCCGCCTAGAGTGCGGTTCGGCCGGTCACTTCTCCTTTATTGTTGTCTCCCTCTGAAACGTGACACCTGGGGGTCGCGTTCAGCCCTGCGAGACGCACAAAGACGTTGTCAGTCGGCGTGTTGGATGTGCTGTTGGAAAACGGCAGATAGCACGGCTGTGCGTCCGCATTTAAATACCCTCATTCATTGATTACACCCAGCCCAGTGTAAAGGTCACAACATATTCCGTCGTGAAACGCTGCGCACACAGCTGGTTCTCCAGTAGTTGCAAACCTTCACTTGTTTGAACGATTTTCCTTGAACGCACCCTGGATGCGAGCCTCTTATAAATCACAGCGTTATCTACGGTAGAGGATGCGTAGATCTACATATATCAATCCGGAAGAAGTCACACGTGGTCCCCGACATCACGTGGAAATCGTGTCACGTTTAAACCTTAGACGTTAACATAAATTTTTTATTATGTTTACTTGGATGCAGGATCATGATGCCAGAGAGATGACAACTACCTGCATAGATAAGAGCTGTGAAACCAGGGTCGATGTGACATGCGCTCCATGACAACATGACTAAGACCACGTTCAAGACAGCAGTGAGACCAAAACGTCAAATGTGCTGTGGTGAAGGTGCAATGTGTTTCCTCCCTGCTTTACTTTGGTGATCAAGCCATAGACACTAGCTTCATTTCACCAAGTAAAGAGTTAGAAGTAGCAGTCTTACAAAACCACAACATATTAGAATATTTTCACGTTATAAGAGGCACTTTGAATCCTATCCTTTGTAGACTAACATGTTCAAAGTACTGCATTAAGTCAGCTGATGAGGACTATTTTTTCTTGATTGCTCCTTCGTCCCCATTTCTCATCACCATCACTTAAAAAGGTATTTCCGGGGAAGTTTGAAATGCATGGGAAATTGACCCAATTTGTCCTACTGTCCAATATCACAGTCGGTGTCTTATGCTATTCTCCAACTAAAACAATGGAAGTGTTGTGTGGAGAAACATATCAAATGCTTCTTTCTACAGAACCTCCCGGTGGCTTGGCAGGCCGATGTGTATCATATAACCTTAATGCTCTGGTGGGAGTCCATCCTGGAATCTCTTTGTATTAAAAAGAAAAAAAAATCAGTGACCCAAACAGAATAAAAAACTTTATTTCGATAAAAGTTTAGGTGTCGTTAATGATGCGGTATCTTTCTGCCCTATAGTGGATTGTGTGATTTAGATGCCAGGGTTTGCCTGCGTGAGCTCCTTGCTGTTGGCGGCTGACTGTGGGTGGTTGAGAAGTACGAGCCCTTTCCCTGCAGGGTCAGAGGTGCACAGTATCCAGTGGTTGCTGTCCTGCTCAGCTTTGTGGGAGTCCAGGAAGGTGCGTGCCGTTATCTCATACTCTTTGTCATACATGTTCCTGCAGGGAGACAAGTGTTACTTAAGAGCGACAGCAGGTGTGCAGGCATTGTAACATGACTTTCAGCTGCCATATTGGAGGTCCTCTTCTTTTGAGTGGCCGTGAGGAGCTGACTGCAACTTGACCGCGTCGACATAATTTAATCTACATAATGTGTTTCTCGGGGAGATTTTGACTGGTCACTGACTGTTTTTAATTAAAACACATTAGACTGTTCGCTTGGGTTGAGCAGCTGATTCGTCTCCAACAACAACTCACAATTGCCTTGGAGTACACTGGGAGTGGTTATAAGTTTTGTCATGTCACTGTAACCTCATTTTGAAAAAAACAAAGTGTTATCAGGTTGTTTGTTCTCAGTTATCTGATCCATGGGCAGATTACTAGTCAATGGGCCCCTGGGCACAGGCATGCATCCACCACCTCTCCTCGCCTCACCTCTTTGTAGTCATTTTGTTTCTCTTTGTTGCTGCCCGTTATTCATAGTGTCTGTGCATCTCTTTGCAGCTGTTTTGCATCTCTTTGATGTCATTTTGCTTCTCTTTGAGGCCACTTTGAGTTTCCTCCAGGTCTGGATGTGTCTCTTCCATTGACATTTTGCAGGTGAAGGCCAGGGGAGACCCTGACACTTTGGGCCTCTACTAAATGTGCCGAGTAGGCACTTTGAGTCTCCCCCAGGTCTGTATGTACTAAATGTGCTAATCCATGTGCTGACCTATTGAAGTTTGCTTCCTCTGATTTTGTATATATCATATATTTGGCTATTATTTGTGCCAATCCTACAATGGACCTCCAAGCTGACATCAGACATGAGAGCAACACAAATCAAAAGCCCATGTATTGCATTTACACAGCAACATATATCGTTTAGGGTTACTTTTAAAGGAAAATGAAAAATACCAAAGGATGTGATCACCCAGAACAGCAAGAGCCTGGTTTGTCTTGCAGTGTATGATCAGCACGCTCACATTAGCCTGTAAGAAAAAAAAAAAAAAAGCATGCAACAAAGGTTCAGAAAAGGTAAAGTTCAGTTTCAGATTTCACAGTACAGAGTATGCAGATGTTGAGAGGAGTGTAATAGTTAACCATGGAGACACAATAAAAGACTTACAGGAATTGGCTGACCCTCATATTCAAGCCTCTCCTGAGGGTCAAAGTGAACTATCTTCCACCATGACAGAAAGGAACCGCCGTGATCCAAGTTTACTTCTTGCAGGCGGGACTTCTTTGCACACTTTAAGTGAAACCACAATGAGACTGACAATGGTTGAAAATATGGTGAAAAGGACAAACATAACTGCTACATTCAGCGGTTTAGGCATGCATGTAAGATTTCTGCAACTTTGTTTAGTATCTCGTAACAGTTGGTGGTTGTTTAGTGTAATGTATTCTCCTTCATGGTCCTCAATAAATAATTCATGTTAAAACTTGATCTACCTTTTGAAAACTTTGCAGGTCACTCGTCAAGAAAAGCTGAGGAAATAAAGAAAGAAATATAAACACACAAAGTGACAAACTACAGATGAGATTTATGTGTTTTTTTTACAAGTATTAACATGCAAAATGTACAGTGAAATCACGCCACCTTGCTGTATTTAGCTGAATGTAAAATGCCACTGTAACAAAAAAAGCGAGCAGGTGTTCAATAAAATAAATCATTAACTGAGATAACCTTGATCCAGAGATCGATATCAGTTATTCTCTTCAACTTTAATAAGCTCCCCTCAAGGCCTTATGTTACACAAATATTTATACTGGCTGCGTTGTACTTCTCAGGGCGTACACACTGAATTACACCAGTAAAGTGAGTGGGGTGCCCCTTTCACATAGTAGCCAGTCTTTGTGTGTGTGTGGATGGGTGTGGATGTCAGTTCACTTACTCCCCCAGCAAAGCCACTCGTTGTTTTCAGGGCAAAACTTTGCTCGTAATGCAGAGTCGATCCTTCCTGGCTGCCGTCTACACTGTAGTCACACAAGCAGTGTTAGAAGTTTTCATCTGGAAGTGTTACCATGTTAATATAAATTTAAGTGTGCTTGTGTGTGTGTGTACCTGGTTATGATGAAGGCAGTGCGCGTGCAGGCCTGAATACCTCTTCCTGCACTGACCCCACATGGGGCTTGAATGGCAAGTGAAGGAGTCTTTGTCAAACTGTTAATGTCAGCGTTAATGCTCAGTGCACTGCACTGCCTCTTTTCTCCTCCCATGTTCACCAACATCACAACATCCCCAAAGTGCAATTGTCCATCATTTGTCACAGTGAGATCCACCTACACATGTGAAACATCATTATCATTCCCATCCCCATCATCATTGTGATATTACTGTTGTTATTTATGGTGCTCTTAATAAGCTTAAACTCTTTTTACCGGTCTCAAAATGTTCTGCTTGAGGAAGTCCACTTTCTGGGCAGAAAGCTCACCCCTCTCTTTTTTCTCCAGATACTCCTTCTTTTTATCCTGGAAAAACATCAACATGATACAATGTTTATGCTTTAGTATCTCCCCAGGACCCCACCACTGCCGGTTTTATATATTCATCCATCCATTTTTGTAACCGCTTACCCTCTTGGGGGTCGCGGGGGGGCTGGAGCTTATCCCAGCTGACATTGGGCAAGAGGTCACCAGACTATCACAGGGCTGACACATAGAGACAGACAACCATTCACACACACATTCACATCTACGGGTAATTTAGTCACCAATTAACCTAGCCTGCATGTCTTTGGACTGTGGAAGGAAGCCAGAGAAAACCCACACTGACACTAGGTGAACAAACACATAGGCTTCCCCACCTCAGGATTCAAATCCCCCACCCTGGGTTCGAGTCAGGAACCCTCTTAGTCGCCACAAAAACATCTTCAATGGAGAGCTGGAATAAGGCAATGCAGGATATACACTGCCTGGCCAAAAAAAAAAGTCACCACCAAAAAAAAAAGGTCATACACTCTAATATTTCGTTGGACCACCTTAGCTTTGATTACGGCACGCATTCGCTGTGGCATTGTTTCGATAAGCTTCTGCAATGTCACAAGATTTATTTCCATCCAGTGTTGCATTAATTTTTCACCAAGATCTTGCATTGATGATGGTAGAGTCTGACCGCTGCGCAAAGCCTTCTCCAGCACATCCCAAAGATTCTCAATGGGGTTAAGGTTTGGACTCTGTGGTGGCCAATCCATGTGTGAAAATGATGTCTCATGCTCCCTGAACCAGTCTTTCACAATTTGAGCCCGATGAATCCTGGCATTGTCATCTTGGAATATGCCTGTGCCATCAGGGAAGAAAAAATCCATTGATGGAATAACCTGGTCATTCAGTATATTCAGGTAGTCAGCTGACCTCATTCTTTGAGCACATACTGTTGCTGAACCTAGACCTGACCAACTGCAGCAACCCCAGATCATAACACTGCCCCCACAGGCTTGTACAGTAGGCACTAGGCATGATGGGTGCATCACTTCATCTGCCTCTCTTCTTACCCTGATGCGCCCATCACTCTGGAACAGGGTAAATCTGGACTCATCAGACCACATGACCTTCTTCCATTGCTCCAGAGTCAATCTTTATGCTCCCTAGCAAATTGAAGCCTTTTTTTCCGGTTAGCCTCACTGATTAGTGGTTTTCTTAAGGCTACACAGCTGTTCAGTCCCAATCCCTTGAGTTCCCTTCGCATTGTGCGTGTGGAAATGCTCTTACTTTCACTATTAAACATAGCCCTGAGTTCTACTGTTGTTTTTCTTCGATTTGATCTCACCAAACGTTTAAGTGATCGCCGATCACGATCATTGAGGATTTTTTTCCGGCCACATTTCTTCCTCGAAGACGATGGGTCCCCACTATCCTTCCAGTTTTTAATAATGCGTTGGACAGTTCTTAACCCAATTTTAGTAGTTTCTGCAATCTCCTTAGATGTTTTCTCTGCTTGATGCATGCCAATGATTTGACCCTTCTCAAACAGACTAACATGTTTTCCACGACCACGGGATGTGTCTTTCGACATGGTTGTTTAGGAAATGAGAAGCAACTCATTGCACCAGTTGGGGCTAAATAACTTGTCGCCAGCTGAAAATTAATCGCCCATGCAGTAATTATCCAATAGGAGGCTCGTACCTATTTGCTTAGTTAAATCCAGGTGGCGACTTTTTTTTTGGCCAGGCAGTGTATATGATACTGTCAGACTGTGGAATAAAATGTGTCAAACCTTACAGCATAAAAGATGGAAACTAGATCTTTAAAGGGATATTAACAAAATCATTGTATCACTATTAAGTCAATTATCAATCACCTTTCTTTCTCTAAACTCCTTATATTGGCCGCAGAATAGACACCATATTCTGCCCCTGTTACTGAATAACCCCTAAAGCATTTCTTTATTCCTGTCTATCTTTTAATAACCTGTGTCAACAGGGATTTGCAATTTACCAACACAGATCATCAACTTTTATTGTAGCTAAATGTTCCTTTTATTCCACACAACTCAAATCTAATTAAGTTTTCAAACAAAGCAAGTTTTCGGTGAATTATTATCCAGACTTATTATCCCTCCTATTGGTTTGCTTTAATGGCTTAATAGCTAACTAATGATAACCTAACCAGCCAGTGGCTAACCTGCCTTTTTAACAGTAAGAGTATTTTTATATTTCTATACTTTCTTTACTTCTTAATTACTTACTTAATTGCCACTTCAAATCCGCTTACAGTCATTATAAAGGTGTAAGCATATGCAAACAATATAACTTGCTAATTTGTGCTCGTTAGCTGTTAATGTGTCTCCGTTTGCTAGCTAAAAGTTGAGAGTTGTGTTTTGAGACAAACCTCCTCTAAGTACAGGTCCTCGTTCCAGTTTCCGATTCTCACATTTGTTCGGTAAGTGTTCACATGAGCCATTCTCACAATAATATTGACAAATATTTCTGTACTAATAGTATTCACACCACGTTAGCCTACTTTAATGTTTGACCTGCTCAGTTAAATGTAGCTTAGCCATGGTTTGTGTGGTAGTTTCTATGGTAACCGACGGTGAAGGGCCAACTGTCAGTTCTCGTTGATTGTCGCGAGAGGGCGTGCTGGTACAGCCGCTGGTATCCACTGAGCGGCTTGTTCTGCCTCCTACAGCAGCTCATGAAGGTTTACTGATGCACATACAATTGTTATAACATTAACACATATACAGTGGCTGAAGTCACAGTGTTAAAAAAAAAAGCATTTCCATAAGTACTTTGGCTTTACATTAAATGATAGTGTAGGGGACACAACATTAAAACTACTGGCTACTTCACAATTAAAGTGGTTAAACTACATCTTAACTACTTTGAAAATGTTTAGCTTGTCGAAGTTCAACGACATCCAACCTACGTCACTTAAGTCTAGTTGTGTTTAATTTAGAGATGGGGCAGGCCAGGTCAAAGGATGTGTTTTAGGGAGAGGATAGGGAGCAATTGTTGGGGTGGATTCAGGAAACTTCTATTGTCATTTTTAGTGTTCGATTGCAGACATCTTGGTTGCAAATCAAAGTTTAGTCAAATAGCAGGTAAATTGTCATTAAATGACAACTGTGGCCAATAATTTCAGGGTGTCTGCAGGGCCTTACAAAGTCATAAAATGTCTTAAATTCAGATTAGATAAATAAATAAATATTTTATTATTCAGTCATATTACCACTAACATTCTCCCAGCCTGGCAGACCCAAAGATTCCTTACAATCACTGGCAAGACCGAAAAATTGCAATAATAAATAGCATTTATGACAGCGATAAGATTCTGTTTACTTTTTACATTAAACACATTAAACTTAAACTCACCTATTTGTTGTCCTTAGTGTTCATTTTGAACTCACATTAGTGTGTTTACTTGGAAAGAATACTTACGTATGTGTGTCACACACACACACACACACACACACACACAAATATATATAATGTGTATTTCAACTGCAAGTTTGGTCTTAAATTTCATAGTGAGGTGGTATTAAAAAGATATTTAAAAGTCTTAAATTTAACTTAAAATTTGTAGACACCCTGAATCTGTAGCACTGTGAAATATGTTATGGCAAAAAACATCAAGAGAATACAAAGTACTTTTCTACTGAAAAAGCTACTGAGATTTGAATGTACTTAAACTGCCACCCAACTACTGCAAAGTTAGTCTTGTAATTGAGCTAAATGTAGTTAGTAGTACTAGTAGTTAGTAGTACTCCACAACACTGACAAATGAACACATAGACGCACATACTGACATGTGAGTAATTAATATATTGTTATTAGCATCAAAATTATTCTTAACAATATACAAAAATGCAAAAACAGCATATTAAATTAGTCCTTCTCTATTTTTAATTACGAGTAGAATAAGAAAAGTTATCAGAGGTTCTGAATTCAGTGAAATCCAGAAAACCATGCAGCTTCAAATCAGTTTATGAATAATTCCTCACAGTTCCTGTAGAAATCATTTTCTCTCCTCAAGTGTATATAAACAATTAGATTCAGCTGCGATCCAGGCTGAATGTTCCCATGTGTCTGCTGTCCATTTTCCTCTCTCTCTCTCTCTCTCCGTTTCTGTCAGTCTGTGTGTGTCAGTGTCCATTGGCCCGGCCTCTGGCTCCAGACCCATTTATGTGACTCAGTTTGTGGTTTCTGTCCTTCGATGAGTCACTGTCATCCTCCTCTTCATCGCTCCTGTCATCGCCTTCCAGCTGCAGGATGAAGATGAGCCACAGAGAAGAGGAAGAATATGAAGGTGACCCAAAGATTCCAGCAACTTTAAATGTGTATAGTTTTAATATATTACTTTCCTTTACATTTCGAATATACACACAGAAATACCTGTGAACACACCTTGGTGAAGATTAACTTGTAAACCATCCGTGCTATGAGAAAAGCCCAGTAGAGGTGGAGTGTCAGGAGAACCACTAGCATCACATTGAAGAAGTAGTAGCCAAAGAAGGGAGCAAACTCCTCCACTGGGTACACCCATGTGCAGTGGATCAACCTGTAGAAGACACAATATTCATATTACGCACCACTTTACACTGAGATCATCATCATGCGTCATGCTGCATCCTTCCATTTCACACACTTACCAGAAAGGAAAGATGACAAGTCTTGTCAGTGTAAAGAGAACTGTAAACACCACAAACAAGGTGTTGGCAGTGTGGTGCCACTTGGCGTAGTTTAATACCTTTGCACCCTATGAGAGAAAAACAGGGGAAAGAATCAGGTTCACTTCTTTATCTAAAAGGAATAATTCATAGTCTGCCATAAAGTTGCTGCAGGCATGTTTGCTAATCATTTTAAATCATGAAATAGTTCCTATATAACAGGGGCATTCCTTTCCTATGCATGAATACCTGATTTAACTCTACATTAACTAATGTTCCACAGTATTACTTCTCTGACAGAGCCTCAAGAAAAAATGCAGTATTAATAGAGCTATATTGCTTTGATATTTGCTATTTAAAATAAAAACTGAGCCTCACTGTACTATCAACCTTCTCTTCTATGCCAATTCTGATCCAGATTGCTACCTATAAATAAGGGCTGCACATTATGATGAAAACATGCAATATGTGACATTGTTGCTGAATATCAGAATAATGATACTACTTGTGATATGTAAGCGTAAGAAAAATAAAAGTGTACTCAGTGCCGCCTTTCTGGTGCTTTCAGTATACTAATCAAATACAACAAACTGCCTGTTGAATTTTAAAAAGGAAAGGAAATTATTTCCAACATCCTTATTTCCAAACTTTGAACACCGAACTGAACACAAAGGGCACCAATAAATGAAAAGCTGGTACTTACATTTTAAAGTGCAGTTATCTACTGATACTCTCTTTCAACTAACTAAAAAAATCCCTGAGTATATTATGGTCCTTTGCCATGTGTTATTGAAAGCATAAAAAAACTGCTCTGAAATCTGAGTGGGATTTCTTATGTTACTGAACAGATAGCTGTTCAAAGTAATGTTGCAGTACTTGAGATTGATCATGATCTCAAGACCATTTTTGATGGTCATGGTCTCATCTCAGACTTGACCACCTTTTGATTCGGTCTTGTTGGTCAATTCAATTCAATAACCTTTACTGGCATGACATTTCTTATGTGTTGCCAAACACAATTACATTTTAAGACAGTGAAAATTAAAAAAAAAACTATTAAAAACATTGTATTATTACAAATGCATAGACATAAATTCTAAAGGGAAAAAAAAACATATTAAGTGAAACGTATTAATTGTTGTGTTGGTTGTCTCTCAGGCTGTGACATGCACTGACATATTTTGCTGCATCTATAGTGCTGACACTATTTTCTAGTCTGATCAGAGAGTGTGTTTACATTTAATTTTTGTAAAGAACTTTGTTCTGATGTCTTCGTATGTGCTACATTTTAGCAGGAAATGTTGCTCTGTCTCCAGGTGTCTCTAAAGACAGAGTCAGAGGACTTGGGCTTTCATTTCAAGGCCACCATTGCAGAGATATCACTAAATTGCCTGTGCAAAAAAAGGAATGTTGAATAAAGATGAAGTTGGTTTCTGCTCCTTAGTGTTTGTATTTGTTTACTCACAGAAAACAAAGGAACATTCCCACACATAAAAATCACCTCTGCAGTGCTATTTGATTATTTTATCACAACATATGTCAAGGTACACTTTTACATTACGCATATTTACAGTATGTAAGTCAAAGGGGTAAATGAGGAGGAATATTCATTTGTTTTCTGTGGGTATTTTATGGTAATGTGGATCTTTCAGATCAGATTAAGGAGTGTCAATAGTTTGTGCATTCCACATTTTATTGTAAGTTAGGTTCTAGTCTAGTCTTGGTCTTGTCTCAGTCTTGATATACTCTGTTCTTGGTCATGACTTGGCCTCAGTTTAGGTAGTTTAGACTACAACACTTGTGCAAAGACAACTCAGTGTTTGTACATGCAGCATGGAAGGGCAGGACAGGCAGGTCCTCAGACCTGTTTGAGTCCTACAGCGATTTTAGTTATCAGTAAGACATCTTGTTAGCTGGTTTTAGGCTCTGCATCAAACTACTGAGACAACTATTAAGACACATTTTTACCCTTAGTTTCACTTGTTATTGTTATGCTTTTCTCTGAAGATGTAAAAATGTTGCTCTGCAATCTTAAATTACTGTTCAAATGATGATAAGTACAAAATGTTCCTTTGAAGCTCCAGTGTGTAAGATTTAGGGGGATTAGCGACATCTAGTGGTGAGGATTGCAACCATCTGAAACCTTAGTGTTCATGGTTCAGGAGGTTTTTACAGGGAGTCACATCATTCGCAGAGGTCTCTTCGTCTCCAAAACAAGAAGACTAGGTGATTAAAACCGGTAAAAACACTGAATAAAGCAGCTTCACGTTACAAAGCAGTATTTCTGTGTGCGGCCTGTCTGCAACGAGCACCTGCTAATGTGTGCTCACCTTTTGTCCCTGATAACTTACTGCGTGCTCAACTTTTTTATGATCAAGACATTCAGGTTTTTACTGGGAGCCAAATTAAACAAAAAAATCTGTGTTTTTTGGGTGCTCCTTGTGAGGGGCTGCAAACTACGGTGGCCAATGTGATAATGTCAACGGCCCTATTTAGAACCAGTGTTTGTTTTGTCCGTTCGTGCCTTCTGTAGAAACATGCCGGTGAAACACAGCAATCTCCCTGGATGAGGACCCTCCCAAGCTAGGTAAAAACACCTCACTCTAAGGCAACAAATTACTCTTTTTTTAGGTGATTATATGCTATTGAAAGCATAGCATTATGTTTATATTATATTATATTCCAATTCTGCCAATATACATCCCGTAATTCCACACACTGGACCTTTAAGTCAGTCTGTTACCTGCTAATACTGCACCAGCCCACAGTATGACCTAGATTATCTTGCACATGCACCACTGTAAAAACCAGCACTGACCTCCAGCAGTATGTCAGCGGAGTCGTGAACCACCATCACAAGGGTTCCAATACGGATGTAGTTAGAAATCCAGGAGAAACCCAGAAGAGTCAGCGTGGCAAAATGATGAATCACCTGCTCTTTGAAATCCTATACACACACACACACACACACACACACACACACACACACACACACACACGACAGACAAACATGCACATGACACATATACATCCCTAATTTATATATGCATCTTTATAACAATGTATATAATAGAGGTTTCGTTTCAAAGTGATTTTATAGATCTGCACATCCGTACACTCACCTTCCGTTTCACATCAAACGTGAGGCTGAACAGCAGAGAAAGGTAGAAGCCCATTTCCAAGAGGTAATACCAGTACTGAGATGGCAGCATGGACTGCATGGGCACATAACACATGTATAAATGTTAACTATAGTGCATACTAGCTTCATAAATGAGGTAGAAAAATCTAATGATAAATGGGAAATGTTTCTGCAGTTCCACTCATGAAAGGGGACCACTGATCACATTTTTCTGAGTAAAGGCACAGTAATGTTGATTTTGCTGAGGCTCATAACATACATGGTATACTTATTGTGATATGCTTGTTATAAAATGTATGTTATGTCTGTATAAAATGTGTAGTCATACTATACAGAGACATATCAGTAGTGCGATCAGCTCTTGGGATTGTAATGAATGCAGGAAAGTGGATGTGGCGATGGTGCAGCCGGAGGAAGGAAACATTTATATGGACACTATTACATGGACACTATTTTGACACATGTTAAGGACTACGAATGGACATTTAACAGTGGTATGGCAGATTACCTACATGTCATTTTAATACTGGTATATTGATTTACCACAGTTTATTGTTTTCCTTATAATTATTAGTTTTAATTTTATCGATTAGTATTAGTTAATCCTTTCCTAATTTTTTTTTCTGTTGAGATGGTTGGTGTTGTTGAAAATTTGAAACTTAATTAACTTAAGTCATAAAAAAAGTGTGTACTGTTATATTGTGCAGGCCATCTTGATAGTGATGACATACTGTAAACACTTACCTGTTTAGGGAAGCCTGCCCAAACCTCCTTCAGATTATAAAGCCAAGGTTTCTACAGCCAACAAAAACATAGGGGGAGAGGAGTGTGAGTGGGGAGTTGGAGAACAGCCTTGAAAAGGGTTAATGTTGGCTCATGCATGTTTGTTTGCCATGTCAACTGCCAGAGTGTGAGAAAACCCCCCGAAGCACAGAGAAACATGAGATAGGAGGAGAGACGATGAGGTTCACACACTTCACATTATAGAGAAATCATAGTGGTACACTCAAATAAGGATACACAGAGGAAGAAAAACAAAATAAGGAGGGAGAAATGTCCCACAACAGCCAAGCTAACAATTTACCCAAGAGACAAATCCTTTAATAGAAACAGTTGTGGTGATAAAACATGGAAATAGACCAAAGCTACTTACATCATAAAGAGCTAGGACTCCGTAGACAAACGCAAAAGAATAAAACACACATCTCCAACTGTTGGCAGATATAAAACAATAATTTCACATATTTAAACATGGACTCTTGTTCCCACATCACACACTCACATAATCACACATAAACTCACACACCTGGCCTCACAGAACCTCTTCCGAAGCCCTGCACGCTCCTGGTTCCTCCGCCTCTTGAACCAGACTTGAATTCTCCTTTCTGACCAGGTGGTCTTCTTACACAGAGCCCTCACATCGGCCTGGGACACAGCAGAAACAAACCATTACACTCTCTAACGAGATAGTTTACATCTTTTGAAGAGGAGTTGTATGATGTACTTATCCATAGTCAGCCCATTACATCCAGTAGATGTTGGTCAGCATGCTCCGAGTTTGGAGAAGCAGGCAGGAGTATCAACACGGAAATCAAAAATAGTTTGCTATACTGAGAACATTTTTCACTGCTTTACCTTGCTACAGACAGCCCTTTCTGACGGGGAGGTCAATAGCTGCAAAATAAAGCAAAATGAAATAGAAGGTCCAGTGAACCCATTGTATAGTGTCCTCTATGAGGACAACACAGGGTCTCAGGAGGTTAAGGTGACTAAAAAATGTTGTTGCTGATCCGTCCAAAGCAGTGCATTGCTTAGCTTAGCTCTTGCTCTTGCTGACTGACATCTACTGTATGTAATACACGGACTATGGGTAAGTACCTCATACAACCCTACTTCAGAAGATCTGGACTATACCTTTAAGATTATACACCAGCATTATATTACTCTCTGATAAGCAAAAAGAACATCTGAGTGTCCTCAGCAAGAGAACAGCTTCATTCTGGTTAATACCACACGTAAAATATTATGTAACAGTGGCTTTCAACTAGGAGTCCCTAAGGGAGTTCCAGGGGTTCCTCAGAAAACTGGAAGAAGTTTGTCTCCACAAGTGAGCCCGATGTGAGTTAGAGGGGTGCTTTTCATTATGCTAAATTAGCTTCCTTGCGTCTTCTCTCCTCCTGTGACCCCTCCGCCATCATGGAGGATCTTCCAATCCCTTAAATGCATCTTGAAAAGATGAGGAGCAAGGTTTCTGGAGGAGCTAAGAGCGAGGAAACACAGGCGTATCCTTGCGTGTCTTGTTCACATCCGTCTCTCTCTCATATCCCCGCTGGGAGGAGCTAAGGCTTGAGGAAGACATGTGAGTGAGGGAACCAAGGGGACATGTTGGCATAATGGAAAGCACCCCAAGAGTCATAAGAGTGACTATAATGATCAAAGGTTTCACTTCCTCCATGGTTATCCCCTCAACTGCAGAATTCTGGTCTGAATCATATCTAATAACCAAAATCTTTTCAGACAGAGGTCCCTGAAGCAACATCTGTGGCCTTATGTGTATCAATATAGGAGTCCTCCACATGAAAAAAGTTGAGAACCACTGCTATATATCATATGTGTGACTGCTGATTGGGAATACTATGATACATATGATATTATCTGAACAACAATCCACCTTTGTTTTCAGGGAAATGCCCTTTTTAACATACCTGTGATGGAGTTCGTGCTTGGTTGCAGAAGTAGTTTTCTAATAAGGGGTTTCGTTCTGCTTTGAGACGTACTCTGTCCCTGATTCCCCAAACATTACCCAGTGGTGTGGCCACGTACCTGCAACAGCACAGAGGCAACATGACAATAAATGTATGACAGTCTATTGTTACCTGGCACAGCACAGCTTTGTTCCTTCTACACAGGAGTGGCCTTGGGTGTTCCATATACATAACATTGCTCCATAAAGCTTGTGCAATATAATGACAGTATGCTGAAACGAGACAATTGCACATCCTCACCTCTCAAACAAATATCTGATGAAGAGCAAGCAAAGGGCGCTGGGCAGGACGGCGTAAAGTTGAGAGCCTTTGGCATAGACACGACCTTCAGTGTCCTCCAGATCAGACCAGGAGATGTTTGCTGGCAGCCACAGACGCTCCCACCACAGCCAATCACTGACTGTCTGCAACATGCTGCTAGGAAACACAGAATACACCTATTTAAGAAATTTTGTTTCATATTCAGATTTTACTGTCACATTCTTTTCTTAAATATTAAAAACAAAATCTTAAACTGTAGTGCTTGTTTCCAAGACAGGACATTAGTTCACTGATATCAAACATATTACATGTGATCAGTGGTGAAAAGAAACTAAGTACATTTACTAAAGTACTTGTATTTCACTTGAGTATTTCCATTTCCTGACACTTGATACTTCTACTCTGCTTCATCTTGGAGGTAAATATTGTACCTTTACTCTACTACATTAATTTTTAAAATTTTAATCACTAGTTACTTTACGTATTCTGATTATTAATACAAAATACACTCACCGGCCACTTTATTAGGTACACCTGTTCAACTGCTTGTTAACCCAAATAGCTAATCAACTGAACACGTGGCAGCAACTCAGTGCATTTAGACATGTAGACATGTTCAAGACGACCTGCTGAAGTTCAAACTGAGCATCAGAATGGGGAAGAAAGGTGATTTAAGCGACCTTGAACGTGGCATGGTTGTTGGTGCCAGATGGGCTGGTCTGTCAGAAACTGCTGATCTACTGGGATTTTCACACACAACCATCTCTAGGGTTTACAGAGGATGGTCCGAAAAAGAGAAAATATCCAGTGAGCGGCAGTTCTCTGGGTGAAAATGCCTTGTTGATGCCAGAGGTCAGAGGAGAATGGTCAGACTGGTTCAAGATGATAGAAAGGCAACAGCAACTCAAATAACCTCTCATTACGTTATCTCTGACTGAACAACACGTCCAACCTTGAAGCTACAGCAGCAGAAGACCACACCAGGTGCCACTACTGTCAGCTAACAACAGGAAACTGAGGCTACAGTTCACACTGGCTCATCAAAACTGGACAATAGAAGATTAGAAAAATGTTGCCTGGTCTGATGAGTCTCGATTTCTGTTGCGACATTCAGATGGTAGGGTCAGAATTCGGTGTAAACAACATGAAAGCATGGATCCATCCTGCCTTGTATCAACAGCTAAGGCTGGTGGTGGAGGTGTAATGGTGTGGGAAATATCTTTTTGGACCACTCTGGGTCACAATGAGTTCACTGTACTCCAACAGCCTCCACAGTCACCAGATCTCAATCCAATAGAGCACCTTTGGGGTGTGGTGGAATGGGAGATTCGCATCATGGATGTGCAGCCGACAAATCTGCGGCAACTGTGTGATGCTATCATGACAATATGGACCAAAATCTCTGAGGAATGTTTCCAGCACCTTGTTGAATCTATGCCACCAAGAATTAAGACAGTTTTCAAGGGAAATGGTACTAGCAAGGTGTACCTAATAAAGTGGCTGGTGAGTGTATAATCAATTAATAAATTATGGTGTTTTAATATAGACTCAGATACCCAGCAATATATAAACAAATTAAAATGAGCGTCACCTGTAGCTGCAACATTAAAGTAATGAACACATTAATACATCAGGAATTCTAATCCAATTATATATGTATTCTGAAATTGGTCAGATTCTGCATAAGGAGTACTTTCACGTTCAAGTATATTTTGATGCTAATACTTTTGTACTTTTATTTATGTAAAGACTTGAATGCAGCACGTTTACTAACAGAGTATTTCTTGAATGTAGAACCGTAGAAGATCTGACAGAAAAGATTTGACACTTTACACAAACAAGGGAAGATGTCATATCACATCACCATTTCATCACCATTTAAAAGAATAATACACAAAATATGATTAAAACACTGTCAGCTGTCCATAGTACTGTGCTCTCAGTGTATTTCTGTAGAAGCCAACTTTGAAACAATAAACTGGACACGTGCTGGCACGCTAAGGCAGCAATGACTCTGGTCCACGTGGAGTCACAGCCAAATATTTCAGTTGGGGCCGCTATGATTTGCCACTACCGCCTACTGGTCTGTGACGGTAAAACTGCTGTGTGAACATGCACTCATACAGGAAGTAAGTCATTTAGAGATGGAGAGAACTACAATAGATATCAAAGGGCGAGAAAGATAAAGAAGGGTGAGGAGCAATTCAACGAGGGTGAAGATTAGAGAAGAAGTAAAGTCCTCTCTCCCTTGGACTCTGGCCAGAAATGGAGTGTAGATAATAACACATTCTTTAAACAGTTAGAAAACATTTAAAATGTGAATTCAAGGTCATAAATAATAACAAATATGTGCTGTGATGCCCTCATTTACTGAGTTGGATAGTGTATAACTCATGTTAGAGTGTCTCTAAACCTCAAAGTCAGTTAATAAGTCAGCATGGGAAAACATTAGAAAACGGTCATACATACCTGCAGGCAGTGTTGTCTTGACAAGTAGCAACAGAAGAGAAAGAAGCTGAGGCAGAGAGTTTACATAGAAAGAGTGTGTGACATAAAAAAAAGGAAAATACTGTGTGAAAACTTTAAAAATCTCCAATTTCATGCCCTCAAAGTGACGACGTATTCAGCCCTTTGTTCCACGTTTACAGGATACATGCACTGATGTAAGTACAAACACAAACACACAGTGAAACACACTCACACACACTCACCTTCAGTATGTCCACTGTGAGACGTACAGGGACCTGTCTGTGTGAAGCCAGTCTGTTACTCATACAGTTTATGTACCGCACTTATCCACATCAGATAACAGCCCTGTATAGATCCTTCATGTTCAACCTTTCAGCAAGTGTGGAGCCATTCTTCAAAGACAGTGTACAGAAAAAGACTTTAAACAAAGAAGGCAAATATTTACTCATGAGCTAATGCTTTCCCTAACCTGTACGATGCACCGCTTGGTATGCGAGGGCAACAGACTCCAGTGAACATGTTGAATTTTTGAGCATGTGTGTGGTCGCTCACCTGGATAGAAACAATGGGATCCTGCCCTCCCACTCTCTGTCTGCTCCTGTGATCACACCCTTGAGGTTGCACTGAGTCCTTTAAGGTAATGTTAGCTCAGCACTGTATCACCCTAACTGCCCCCTGGAGCATTTTTTTTTCTATTTTCAGTTGTAAATGTGGAGCTGCAGTGGCCGTTTGGGCGTGTGGGATAGTTTGCCTACCCTCACCTGCAAGAATTCCCTTGGAATGCTGGGAAGCCCCCACAAAGGCCCCATTCAGTCGTGGGACAGGGGAGGAGGAGCCAGTGGAGGTTGTGGATAGAGGAGAAAAGGGGAACTTTCACACACAAAGAGCAGGAGTGAAATATCACTCTGCATACTCTGGGTTAATAACAAACATATCAGCAAAAATAAACTGACCTTTGATACAATTAACTCTTGTCTTTGCTCAGTTTCTATGAGGAAAAATGTCCACCTCTAAAATATATTGGACCTTTTTTTTTTACATATATACTTTGACAGGAGAACTTAAAAAATGTCAGGTTTCAAAGGGATCTATAGATAAAGCAACACATCACTAAGCATCCATATTGAAATATACAGGACACTAAGTCATTTCTCAGTGTTTCACCGCACACCAGAGGGGGGCAACAGAGACTACACAATAAGTGTATCAGCGTTGCTACGGTCATCATCACCCAATTAGGATTTACTGGTGGCATTATATGAATGCTGTTATTGTTGGTTCAACTTATGGGTCATGTCCACCTTTGAACTGAAACTGAAATGCAACACGAGAGAACAACCCCTGAGGATTCAGAAGGAGAAACAGATATCAAAAATATGTCCTTCTTTTATTAGAATTTTACACTTTATATATCAAAACCTCTAAAAATAAACTGTAGATCTACAAGCTTAAGTGTTGATACTAGCTGTATATACTGATATTTACTGTATATTTTTCCATCTTTCATCTGCTGCATGTGTGAGACTGAAATAAACAGAGGAGCAGTGGCTAGTGAGCTGTGAAAACAAACCAACAATAAAACAAAAAAAAAATGGCAGAAAAAAAAGTCAGGAATAGAAAGAGTTAAAGTTCCAGTGGTATTGTTTTTGGGCATGGCGGGGAGAGTATCCCGAGCAGTCTGTCTCTGAATTGTCCAGCTCTCCCCTCGTCAGGATCAGCCCTTAATAAACATGAGTATAAACATCTTCATGAAGATTAAGAGGATAAAAAGGACGTTCAGTTGATCTGGATGGTCTCCCCTCAGACCCCAGGTATTATGTATGGAAATAGGGAGGTCAGACGGAGGGCGTGAGGCTCCAGGCACAGACGGGGAGAGGCTAATCTGGCTAGTCCTCCCCCTCCCTCTGCCACCCTCTGTCCGTTTCCCTTGCCTTCCAGCTCTCCTCATACTGGTGTGTTGCGCTTCAGTTCACTGGGGGAAGGAGGGATGCGGTCCCCCAGCTTTGTAAAGCTGGTGGAATGGCTAGGCTTGGTGGAGTGCTCCTCAGGACCGGGGGCTCTCTGTCGTGGAGGCAGGGTGGAGCACCGGGATTTGCCCCAGGAGCGTGGCTGTTGAGGCGGGGGGCCTTTCAGCGCAAATAGTTCACTGAGTGCTTTGGGCTGTTGGGCTGCTGGGGACGAGGGGTGTGATGGTGACACAGGTGTGTGTGGTGGGGAGAACGGATTGGATGAGGCTGATAATGAAGAGCCCAGGGGAACCAAGGGTGTGAGCGTGGCCTCCTGCTGGAACCTCGTGAGGCTGGTGGAGTGGCTGGGCCGGGGCAGGCTGTAACAAGCTTCAGCCCCTTTGTGGCGGGAAGGCAGGGTGGAGCAGCGGGCTTTTGCCCTTGAGCCTGGCTCTCTGGGAGGAGGAGCAATTAGGGAGAAGAGCCTAGTGTCAATATCGGGTGTTGTAATGTCTGCCCTGGAGCTCTTCAGACTCTGCGATGAGCCTCTTTGAGACAATGGATGCAACGGAGGCTCCTTGTCTTTCTGGTGTTCCTGTTTGGACTCTGAGCGGGGAAGCTCTGTATCTCTGGCTGTGCTTGATGAGGGTTCATCTATGGGACAAGAAAGAAAAATAATAAGAAAATTACTTTACAAGAAAGATGACAGATGATAAAACATAGTGCAAACTGAATATCAATCAATAGGTAAAATGGAAAGTAGACAACAGTTACTCGTCTTACCGAGCAGACCCAGCTCGCTCATCAAGGCGTCCAGATCGACCTTAAAATCCTCTGTCTCAGCTGCCTTCTCCTCTGCTTCCTTTTCCTCTTCCTTTAGTTGTTCTGCCTCTTCTTTTTCTTCTCCTCCCACTGGCTCATTACCCCCCTCTGGCTCATTACCCCCCTCTGGCTCATTACCCACTTCTCCACCCTCCTCCTCTCCCTCCCCCACTCGCTTTTCCAGTCTATTTTCTTCAACTTCCTCGAATGACTTCCCAACCTCTGGATCACTGTCACTGCCCCTTCTAGGCTCATCCAGATTGATCTCAACCCTTTCTTCCTCCTCCTCCTCTTGCTGCTCCTGGGGTTCTTCCCGCGGTGCCTCCACCACAATGTCTATGTTGGCAGGGATGCAGGGGATGGAGAGTTTCGGGGGCTGAGATTTGGCACGTGCTTCTTGGTCTTGATTCAGCAAAAACTCCATCAGCATCATGTTCTCTTTCTTCCGCTGTTCACGCAGAGATCGCGGTACGTCTGGGATCATCCAGGCCACCAGCATGCTGAGGAACATGGCAAGGTTCTGTAGGGGAAAAGACAAGGAATGTTTTTCTTGCAATACATAAGTGCATTGAAAGAGTGTGGTCGGAGTTAAGGCTGAAATGGACAAGTTTTTTTTGCTTTAACTTATGAAAATGAAGGCTCCATTTATGGCACAAAGGAAGTATGTCAATATTGCACAACCTAAACAGGAAGAGGATAGCTCTTTTGTTTTCCCAGTACCTATCCGAGGTTATCCCCAGTTACCAAAGAGTATCAGCTTAAGGTCTTTGCAGTTACTATCCCCAGTAGCAGAAATGGCAAATGGTGGAGCAACCAAAGTAATTGTCGAAACCCTACCTGGCAAGAGAGCCAGTTGCTAGGGTCAGAATAAGATGGAAGGAAATTGTCTTTGCGCCAACACTAACTTCCCTTGGAATAAGGGGGGAATGCTACTTACATGACAATCCATCTTTTTAAAACGTTATTACAGGATAAATATTTTTAGGGTTTAATGGGTTTAATCAGTAGCAGAAGAGGTTCAATGATCCTGACGATCTGCCAATCGACAAAGATACACCGCTCTGCTGGATTGGTATCGAGCTAATATTGACCTCATTAAGCTGATCAGATACACTAACTAAGTCACGGCGGGCTTCAGACAAATGCCCCAGCCTCAGCCCTGGCCTCAGGTTACCTTACATAAACATGATGCCGATGAGCTCCACACAGTGACATATACAGTCGGTGTATCAGAATGTGTCAATGAAGACATCTAACAGTGAAGAACGAGTGAAGCTAGACTTTGAAAAAGAAAAGACCTTTGCTGTTGGGTTTGTTAAAGGAGACATAAAGGTGCTAAAACTACACACCTTCCATTAAAAAACTCATGTCTACTGTATATTTATGGATTTGTGAAAGAAACATTTTCATGACTCTCATGTCTATAAGGCATTATAAACATAATGTATTTTAATCTCCTTATAGCACTGTATAATTATAGTTATAAGCACTCATATATACTGATAATGCTTAATATTGTGATAGTGAAACGAAAATGTTTATCATTCAGTTCTTCATCATCAAAACATTGTGTCAAATTGGAGTAATCAATTTTCTGTAATGACAGGCTAAACAAATGAATTCATTTTACAACATTTTTTTCTTGTTGAGATTTAATATTTTTATGCCTCTGCGCCGGCGATAGTTGTGTCCAAAGGCATTACGTTTTTGGGCTGTCCCGCCCGCCCGTCCATCCGTTTGTACGTCCATCCATCCCATTCTTGTGAACACGATATCTCAAGAATGCCTTGAGGGCATTTCTTCAAATTTGGCAGAAATATTCGTTTGGACTTAATGATGAACTGGTTAGATTTTGGAGGTCAAAGATCAAAGGTCAAGTCCATAGTACAGGCAGGCAGTCAAAAAATGCTTCTGACTCTCTGACACTCTGACTGTAGTTAAAAAGTCAGGGTGTCCACCATGATGAAGACTGTCTGGTCGAAACGCGTTGGTTTATCCATGTATTAATTCAGGTTTTTTTCTATATGTGACTCTTTCTAACTTTTGCCTTTAATGTACAGGACAGAGTGAAAAGGGGTGAGAGAGAGAGCGGGGGGGTAACATGCAGCAAATGGTTGTGAGCCGGAGTTGAACCTGCAACCGCTGCAGTGAGGCATCGCCTCTGTACATGGAGCGCCGGCACTATCCACTATGCTACGCCCCTATATGTGACTCTTTGCCCCATCCTTGAAGAGCTCCTGATTTCTTTACAACTAACTACACAGAGCCTTAACCCAATGCAGCACTCCCTATTTTATCTCATGGTCAAAGGTCAAGGTCAGCGTGACCTCAAAAACATTTCACACAATTGTTTAATAGGGTAAAATATTAAAGTCATGATATTTTATATCTACGAGGTCAAAGGTCAACTTCACTGTGACATCATAATGCTCAGTAACTCAGTCACTTTTGTAGCCATTATTCAATGCCAGAAGTCAGGAACACCTTGTGTGTGAAGCATCCATGTTTTAGAATACGTGGCAACATCTTTATTTAAAGCACTGTCAACTGTCTTAGCTACATATCTGGACTGTCGAGAGTGTAGACAAATATGGATATCACCTGTAACTGCAACCTGACTGGTTTGTGGAGGCATACATCCGTGGGGCGGTAATTCTGGTTTTCACTTTACTTAGAGCAAACAATAACCACTTATACCAGCTTTAAACGTACTGTATCCGCCTAACTCAGGAATTACATTACTCCACTTAAAGCACCCTGTGACTGCTTACAGGTGTGATTATAATTCATTAAAAAATGATTGTGATGTATTACAACAATAAAAATGATAATATACTAGGATCCTTGCAAAAATAATGTCAGCGAGGGAACAGCAATTATGAACTTAACCCAATAAGTCATTGTAAAATGCTTCAATGTATTATGATTATTGTTATAATGAAGATTTATAAGAGTTTATAACTATAATTACACAGTGCTTTAAGAGGTTTATAGTACAT